GCCGTTTAATAAACTCGCAGGTCGTGTTTTATTAGGTCTAAAGCCACTCGCGCTGCGCGCTCGTGGCTTTAAACCTAATAAAACACTCCTGCTCGTTTATTAAACAGTACAAAAAGCTGAAATGCAAAGAATATCTTTCCATTCATATCTTGTTTTCCTCCTAGTGTAGTATAATACTGTTTTAGGAGTATTTCATTTTAAAGCATTAATTGATTAAAGCGTAAAGAATCTTTTCAGCCCCTTAATTAAAATTAGTCGGAGATAAGATCTTTCAAATTGACAAATAAATTATTGTTACTTGCCAGTGTGTTATTATTTACACATGGGAAATGTTTTCTTTATACAGGGATAGTTGTCTAAGATGAGTTGGTCTTGGTTGGGTTCAGATGATGTTGATGAAAACGATGAAGGAAATGAAGATGGAACTGGAATGGTAGTTCTAGTAACTGGATTCATTGTCCAGTCAAATTTGTATAGTGCTGGTCATAGTGACTGGTTACATGTACAGTACATGTATTATGTTTGAATCTTGTCTATTAAGGCCTAAAAAAAATACCTGTGGTTCCGGTTTAATATCGCGAAAAAATTAGGGTCGATAGGTCGGAAATAATTTTTTTTAAAATATTTTTTCATGGTTTTGGCGGTTTTTTGATGGGCGATTTTCAGTAGAGTCCCGACATCAATATTAACTAGAGATGCGTATTTCCTATGGACGAATTTAGGCAATTTGGTTCAATAATTAGTGTGACAACAGACGCCATTTTGGCACGCTGTATAAGCAGCCCGCAACTACTCGGAGAAAATAGGGTCGCACAGTCAATCGCGTTGAAAAAATACTGAGGGTCGGCAGAAAAAAATAGGGTCGATCGGGAACCGGCCTAATGCTGATTTTGTTTATAGAGTTGACCAGTTAGAAACTGTGTTTGCCTGGTTACAAAAGGAACCGTGCATACAAAAGGAACTGTGCATATTTTAAATGTTTTACAGGGGGGAGGCAAAACTAAGATTAGGGCCCTGGGTGGCCTTCCAAAATAAATCCAAATGCAAGATCTACAGTAAAGTTAGGTCACTCAAGGTTAGGGCCCTGAGTCTGAGCCACTACTGTATAACTAGTTGTGCCCGCAGGCGAAATGTCCCCCCGGCATACTGTATACAGTATGTTAAAATGGATTGGGCTAGCTGTTCACCATTATCAGCGTATCATGCATCAATGTACAATAATTAACAGTTATTGAATGAGGTTGAGCATGATATGAAGAATTATCAAGACCAATGTTTGTGCCGAAACTGAGGCGGATAACACGAAGTGGACATTCATTATTTTTACACACAAATTTATTCCATTGAATGTTATAGTTTTAGCAGTCGATGCCAGTTAATTACTATCATAATGTTGTATCATAATCAGTTACTATCATAATGTTATATCATAATCAGTTACTGTCATAATGGTACTATAATGTTACTATATATTACTATCATAATGTTGTATTATTGTATCAACAGTCCCCAATATTGTATTTTCTATTTGTTTTATTTCAGGGATGGGGCAATAAAGATAGCCTGATATTTCTCATTGATTGTTCAAAGTCAATGTTTGAAGGTGGAGAAGATGAGAAACCATTTCAGTTGTGCTTAAAGGTATAGTACTGCGCAGAGTCATCCACGTGCATAAATAGGAGAAATATAAAAAGAAACAAATTCCGATTAATAATTCCATCAAGATTTGAATTAACACAAGATGAACGTTTGAAACACTGAATTTTTTACTGTATTACAAAGTCATATTCACAGTTTCAAAGTTCATATCTTGTATTAATTCAAATCTTGAATTTGAAGATGGCTTATTATTTGGAATTTGTTTCTTTTTATATTTTCCTAAATTGTTTTTAATAGGGGAAATGTTTCACGCATTGAGGACTAATTTTCTCTCAAAGTTTCACTGGCTGTTTTATCAAACTACTTAGTGAAGTTTAAACATCCTTTAAAGACTTTGATCAATGCACACTTCAACTGTTCTTGTCAATGTTTGATCATGCAAAATAAATTTGATCTTCAAAACTTGTCTGAGTCCAGCACAGCATTATTTGTACCCCTGGGTCATCGACGATTGCTTGCAAAGTTTATCTACTGTACAGGGTTCTGCCCACGGTGGGCGGCGGCGGGCGGCAGTGCCCAGCACTTAATAGTACCGCCCAGCACCAAACCAAAACGGACTCTTCCGCCCAGCACAAAAACACGCCAGAAATATTTGTAAACATGAAAATTATCGTTGCCATTTTGAAATTTCTAAATAAAATTTATGTTTCCGAGTAAATTATCGCGCCTGCGATTAATTTTATGGCATCTACCGCTGTAATAATTAGAAATTTCAAAATGGCGACGATAATTTTCATGTTTACAAATATTTCTGGCGTGTTTTTGTTCCGGTGCGAAAGAGTCCGTAAAATTTGAAAATGGCGCGTCAACAAGACAAGCAAAATTAATGCTGTCTCTCTTTAAGAGGGCGGGGGAGGTTATAACTTGTAGGGCCCTGGTCATGAAATTTGATAAATGTACGCGGCACTCTCATTGTCCTGGGCAGAACCCTGTTACTGTAGGTTTGTCTTACAAGATACAATGTTAATGCATGTTTCCATTTTGATAGAACAAGTGTAAAATCACTAATGTCAAATGCCCATTTCATGAAGGGATAAGTTGTGCTACTGTATATATTAGATGTAATTTGTCCATTCACTGGAGACCTAGACTGGCCTTTGGCTATTTGGTTCATTGAAATAGCCGACAGCTATTTCAAACAACAACCTTGAACTTTTCCCTAAGAGTCCCTAACCCTGATGGGCCATCATCCTAACTGGTTTTGCCACCAACTGTATTTGCATGTGAGGAATACATCTTGAAATCCCAAACACAGTACCCGAGTCAGCGCGTACAGTACAAGCCGGGTGCACATAAACTGCCCGACTACGAAATTTTGCTTGAAAAGTGTTATGTTTATAATGTTAATGTAGGTAATTAGGTGTATCTATGTTAATTATATTATGTTATACAATCCTGTGTTATTTAAATTTCTGTCTAGATTTTTGTATAAATGCGAAGAGCATATCTAATAAAATGTTAGTTGATTTTAAAAGTCTTTTGGTCTAGGAAATATAAAAAAAACAATTGAAATTTTAATACTTGCTATTACTTGAGCATGGTTGACAGAATGAAGACAATGGCTATACCGGTCAAATGACGTTTGCACATTAGTATGTCCGGTCATGGACAAACAGCCACTCCCTTATGTTATCGTGACTTATGATCCAGCATCATCTTTGTATTATATAGTGTGCAACATGTACTATGAAGAACAAAATAATTGGAAGTGAAAAAGATTTGTTTGGAATTGTTTTCTTTGGAACAGTAAGTGTCAGATTAAACTAAGCACGAAAGTTTATTTTGTACATACAGATATTCAGTCGTCATGTGGTTGCAGTTGTCTTCTACGGTACCTATGGATCCTATTTTTACTTTCCCACCATGCTATTTTAATGTCTGCCTGGAGTAGTAAAAGACCCCACTCTGGAGACGGAAGTAGTTAGTATGCAAACTTAGGTGCCGGAAGTAACTAGTATGCAAAATCTATGACGTCACTCGGGCAAGCCTGGGCCAAATGTGACAGGTAGCGCGACCAGACACACGTGTATTTTGAAGGATTGTTCGCGTGATTAAAACATACTCTTGCCATAGCTCAGTTGGTAGAGCGGAGGACTGTAGTTCCTTAGGTCGTTGGTTCAAGCCCAGCTCGCAAGATTTAAAAACAGGCGTTCTTTTTGGCGGGAAAATGTATATGTAGGTCGGAGCCTAATTCAAAATAACGAACCTTTGAAAGTCTATAGCTTGGAGCCTAGTCTAAATAGCTCGGAGCCTGGCTCGGAGCCAGTCCGTTCGAAGCATAGTCTTTAGTTGACAACGCTTAGGGCGCTTTCCTTTAACACGGCCAAACTGGTCAGAACGGTCAAATTGTTGAATGAAACACAAAACATTTGGGCTTCGGACCTTTCTGACTGGAAAATTTTGATAACATTAGAACGAGGTCCATTTTCGCTAGATATTTGAGAAACATAGACCAGATCTTTCCATTGATACAGAGAAAATAATTCGGGTCTGACTAGCCTGCGAACAGGCTCCTCAAGCTGAATTGAGAGCCTGCATCGATGACTAATGAATTTGAATATCTGCCCCGTAACGTTCGTTTTTAGTGTGAAGTTTCACTTCACACTGTTGTGATGGCTGGCGAATTCACACGAATCAGTCAATCATAGAGTAAACTTTCCGGGGGGTGTATACGATTTATGTTCGCAGTGATTTATTGTACTTAGTCAGTGCTTTGAAGGTTATTTAAGCAATTTATTTACTTTCTTTAAATATTCTTTTGTCCTTTTGCCAAGTTCACAAAAATTTTGAGGAATCGTTGTCGTTATTGTAAAGTTTTGTAATTTTAGAACATTCGCTTCTCATGTTGTGTAAAGGATCTTTCCCCCGGAACACCCGATTTTTTCTATAGCAGCGCAAATGCGCATGCGCTATGAAGCCGTAGATCACGATGCCAGGAAGGAGCGACAGTGTTGTTTTCAAATGCACAAACATTTCATACATGAATATTGAGTAAATCTTTGAGAATCTACGCAATATATAAATTTATGTTATGCATGACGGTCTTTCAATCAAGTACTGATATATGTAGACGGTATATTCATTATACAGAGCTAGGAAGGAGCGACAGTGTTGTTTTCAA